ATGACCCTCCACAAAACGACCTATATGCTAACAAAACTGAAAATGAAAACGTACACCCAAGGTAATAAAGCCGGAAAACATTTGTCAACGATGCTCAAACAAAAACAAGCAAACTCTAAAATCCCATATCTGGTCACAAGGTCATGGGGAAAAATCCATAACCCACAAGATATCAACGACGAGATGGCCGAATACTACCAAACCCTTTATAACTTAAAAAACGACCCCACCGTCCACCAACCCACCAAATGTGAAATAGACACACTTCTCCAAAAGACAACTCTACCTGCACTATCGGAGGCCCACATCCAAAAAATACAGGATCCAATCACTACAAAAGAAATCCTAGACACTATCCAGACACTCCCAACAGGGAAATCACCCGGCCCAGATGGCCTAACAAACTCATACTATAAACAATTCGCACCAATCCTAAGCTCCTATGTACAGAAACAATTCACCCACATCATTAATACCGGCACCATTCCACAAGAAATGCTCATGGCACATGTTGCCACACTCCCCAAACCAGGGAAACCTCCAGACAGAAGCCAAAACCTACGCCCAATATCCTTACTGAATACAGATGTAAAACTCATAGCTAAAATCCTCTCAAACAGACTAGCGCCCGTTATTCCGACACTAATAAAGGAGGACCAAGTGGGATTTGTGGGAGGCAGACAGGGGGCTAATGGCACACACAAAATCCTCAACATTATATATGGACTACGGGGGGAGGGGTCCCTAGCTTATTACTCTCCCTGGACGCGGAGAAGGCTTTTGATAGACTTCATTGGCCTTTCCTGCTCGCAGTCCTCCGAAAATTCAACTTCCCACCCCAATTCATGTCACTCGTCACGGCACTCTACTCGGTCCCGACAGCCCGAGTGGTTAACGGGGGACTCATTTCCAAACCATTCTCCATCTCCAATGGCTCAACACAGGGCTGTCCACTCTCCCCCCTACTTTACATATTGGCACTGGAACCCCTGACACAAATGATTAGGGACGACCCGAACATGCACGGAGTCAAAATTAAGGGACATGAATACAAACTATCCCTATTTGCAGATGACATCCTATTGACCTTGGAACAACCACATATATCCCTCCCAAACTTCCACAAGCTCCTCACCCAATACAGTCACTGCTCATACTATAAACTAAACATAGCAAAGACCCTTGCCTTAGGAATAAATGTTCCCACACAAGAGATGGACCGGCTCAAAACCAACTTCATACGATTGGAAACTAGACCATATCAACTTCACACCAACACCTAATACACTGTTCAAAACAATTACCTCAAATTACTTAGTGAAATCCAAACACTCATACAAGGGTGGAAAGGGAAATACATCTCGTGGTCAGGCCGCATAGCCTCAGTGAAAATGATAGCCCTACCAAAGATCCAATACCTCCTTCGCACGCTTCCGATTTGGCTCCCGCACAACTACATTCGCAACCTTCTAAACAGCTATGTATGGGAGGACAAAAAAAGCACGCGTAGTGAAATCCACTATGCATAGAGCACTCGCCCAAGGCGGAATGGGAATGCCGAACATAATGGGATATTACAGAGCAGTACATATAGCACCTATACTAGCGGCATCACACCAACGAGAAATAAAGGCTTGGGCCACAATAGAGAAAAAACACGCGAACGGTATGCACATAGCAGCACTGGCTTGGCTGCCGAAAACACAAAGACCAAGAAATACTGACCTACTACCCACAACCAAGCTCCCTCTCACTTATTGGGATAACTATCGAAAACGATTAGGTAACACTGACCGTACTTCCCCAGCCCTCCCAATGAAATCACTAACCCATCTTATACCGGATTTCAACTACAAACTCTGGCACCGACATGGAATCAAAACAGTGTCACAACTATTGAATGGACTCCACCTGAAAAAATTCTCGGTCCTGGAACTAGAACTCTCACTACCAACAACAGCCAGATAATCCTACATGCAACTTCAATCCTGGTTCGACAAACAACCAAAATCAAACTCCACCACTGAATTGGACACACACTGACAAACCATAGAACAAATATACATATCACACAAGCCAACCAAAAAAACACATATACAAGATCTACACGTCGGAACACACCCGACCCCAACAACACCCCCCCTCCTACATAGAGGTGTGGGAAAAAGACATTGGATGCCGAATCTCAGAGGCCCAATGGCAACTCATCTTCAAGACACAAAAAAATGGACCCTCTGCACAACCCACTTAGAACTAGCCCGAAAAATATTATATAGATGGTATCTAGTCCCCACACGCCTTAAACAGAGCTTCCCCAACACATCCGACATCTTGTGGGTAATGTCAAAAAGACAGAGGCACCATGATGCACATATGGTGGCAATGTCCGAAGCTACAACAGTACTGGCAACAAGTGGCGGATCTAACAACCAAATGCACCAATGTGCGACTACCATACCAGCCCGAAACCTTTTTGCTCCTCTTGCTGCCACATACACCGAAAAAATACCAGAGATACCTAGCTTACCACATTATCATAGCTGCTTTAACCGTCATTAGCAGAAAGTGGAAACAAACTTCACCCCCCACTATTACCCAGTGTGTTAATGCTGTAGACACAAACAAAATCTACGAACATATGGCAAGAGGCACACAACAAAGAACCTAATACTGGACCATAGCATGGTAAATCTGGGACAAACACAAGCCTATTCAAAGCGACAATTAGGCAAACATTATAGATACGCACCTACGACCTCCTGACTGGAGGCACAAACACCCATACCCACTTCTGCCAAATCAGACAGAATCATACCCAGAACTCCTCAACAATGACATCTGACTTCCCACTGAAACTATCTGTGCCCCCCCTCCTCCCCTCCCAACTTTCCCAACCAACTTAGACCACTCACACTGACCACCACACAAGCACCAAAACCCCAAAGCACCTCATCCAGCGAATCACGCAGCAAGGTGACATAAGCGTCTTGCTACATAAAAAAAAGGCTACCCTCAAAACACAATGCTAAACCAAACTGAAAACAACCGACCAACTGAGAAAATATGACCGTTCGAGACGTTGTGTAAACTGACAATGCTGCTACCAAAATGTCGAACCAAAACAGGTTCCCCCCTAACCCTTTTATTCTTCTGTACCCCACCCTACTCGCAAGGTACTAATGATGTAAGAACTGCAAACTGCCCCCACCCTTTTTTTTTCTGTACCCCAGTGGATTATTTTTTTCATGTTTTAAAATGACAAAACAAATAAAAAATTTCAAATTCAAAAAAAAAATGAAAAAAAATAAAGAACCACATCCTTTAGAGGAAAATTACGTAACACAACTACAGATACCCAAATAATAATGTCCAAATATATCCTGAAGCCAATGTCAATAAATCATGGTGTCTAGTCTCCAATATCTTCAAATAGCCAGATAGTCTAATTGCAGTTTGTTAGAGGCAATGTCCTTAGGGACGAGAAAGGACGAGAACCCACCCTGCTGGGGGGCCGGGCGGGTCATAATGGAGAGCCAGAGGCCAATGTCCATCTGGTCCCACGAAATTGAGGGGCTGTAACAGATCGACGGACACCACGACTGGGTACCTCCGTTGAAGGATGCTCCTTGTGCTTCCTGACGGTTTCCAGCACTCAGGCAGACACCATAACCACCATAGACTGCTTCAGAGAGCAAAACAGGAACAAGCTCTTACAAGAGATTAGGAGTGATTATAGCAAGGGAATATGCAGAGCATAGCAATCCCTTGTAGCAGGTCCCCCAATAAGAGACAAGACTCCAAATTGAGGGTAAAGTAGAACTCAAGCTTTAATCCAACACTCTGCTTTTATGCACATTTTACACTGTACTGCCCACAGGGTTTTGCAGAACAACCAATCAATACGTACAATACACTCAGACACTCCCAGCAATTACACACAAAATCCTCCCCTCTGCCTATGATATAATTACTGAACCCAATGGGCTGACGTAATTATCACAGGCAGGAAAATACCCAATTTTACACAATATTCATAACTTTAAAAGTATACATCACATTCGCATACATACATTTTCAGAATCAGCATACTCCAAATACAAACATATGTCAAAATCATCCAAATTGGTCCAGTGGTTCAAAAGTTAGTTTTTTGACCAACTGCAAGCATGGCTTGGGTGGTAAGCCAATTATCTCCAGCATAAAGAAAATATCTCCATTTACAACAACAGTAAAAACACATAAAAATACATAATTCCTATCATACTGAACAGAACCACCACATTCAACCTATCCCCAGATAGCTTGGATCTGAGCACTCACTATATCCGAACATCGCTCAGATACCGCAAACACAGTCAAATCGCCATGGGGTTAAAGTAGGGATCGACCGATTATCGGTTTTACCGATATAATCGGCCGATATTCGGTATTTTCGGCAATATCGGTATCGGCCAATATAGATACCGATATTGCCGATAATACCTCCTAGGACATTACAAGCCCGGCGGTCCTGGCGGGGGGGGGGCGCAGGTAGCGTTTACTTACCTCCCCTGCAGCTCCTCCAGCTCCCAGTGTAAATCTCGCAAGACCCGCGGCCGTCAGGCACTAAGGGCCGCAAGATTTACACTGGGAGCTGGAGGAGCTGCAGGGGAGGTAAGTAAACGCTACCTGCGGCCCCCCCCCCAGTTCAGCCAATGCCACAGGGACTGTCATATCCCCCCTCCCTGACCAGGTAACAAGCAGGGAGGGGGGACAACAAAAATAATAAAATATAACTATTTAAAATAAGCATAAAAAAATAAACAAATATTAAAAATTTAAATAAACAAATATTAAAAATTTAAATAAACATAAATATTAAAAAATAAAATAAAACACCCCATTTTACACATATCACATCCCTTCAGGAAAACACACACACACACACTGCATCATATACTCACACACTACACACTCTGTATATAACGTAGAGTGTGTATATAGTGTAGTGTGTCTATATAATTTAGTGTGTGTGTGTATATAATGTAGTGTGTGTGTGTTTAATGCACACATTGCACACACTACATTATATACACACACACACTGCATTATATACACACAAACACTGCATTATATACACACACATACTACAAACACTGCATTATATACACACACACTACATTATATATACACACACACTACAAACACTGCATCATATATACACAGACACACTACAAACACTACATTGTATACACACACTACACACTGTAGGCATTATATACACACACTATACAAACACACTACATTCACTATACGCACACTACACACACTGCATTCACTATACACACACTGCGTTCGCAATACACACTAAACACTGCATTCACATTACACACACTACACACACACTGCATTCCCTTTATACACCACACACTACACAAACACACACTCTGCATTCATTATATACACACTACACAGTCACTGCATTAACTATACACACTACACGAACACACCCTGCATTCATTATATATACACTACACAAATATACACAGCTCCACTGTCTAAACACACTGCATCCAGTGCATGTGGCTTTTATATTTTGTGCATTTACCTTTTAGAAATAGTTAATTTTTTCAAAATGGTAAATGTACAGAATATCGGCAAGTTATCAGCTATCGGCATGAAAGTTAACAGATTATCGGTATCGGTATCGGCTCTAAAAAATCAATATCGGTCGATCCCTAAGTTAAAGTTTAGCAACAAGTTCCAACCGGTCTGGCAGTGTCCCTGGGACAACGCCCTGCTGGAGAACAATACACAGGAAACGGGGAAGGGGCACACCTTCTCATGTATTCAAAGAGACAGAAAAAGTGTTTCAAAATCCAATAAGCCCAAATAATGCTTACACAGGGCAAAGTCTCCCAGGGGCCATAGTCACATGGCAGGAGGCTGGCAATCATTCTTCTCCAATGCCCAGTGGCGTGGCTGGTTCCGCCACAGGGTGTGCATCGCCAACCGTTGACGGAATTGCTCATCATATTTCCACCAACCCAGACCGCCATAGGTACGACAAGCATGCCAAATGGTACCCTGGTAGCAGAACAATGCGGAGCACTTCTGCGGAGCCTTTTCCCCCAATAACAATGGCCAGGATCACAAACATGCAAATCCGATTCCCGAAAGTCTTAGGGATCTTCCGGTACCGGTATTTCTCCTTTTCCGGTTCCTTCCTGTCCTTTTCCACTAAAGGAGGAGCCTCCTCCATGGTGAGGAGGGAAAAAATCTTAACAAATTCTCCCCTCCAAATTTAGTCCCCTAACCTCCTGCTTTAGGTGCAAACCCAAAGGCCCTGACCAACACATATAGGCAGACCCACGTGCAACGTCGGCAACACTCAGGGGGTCATCCAACGCTATGGACCCCCAAGCAACAGCAGGCGCTGCGGCAGCCAACACCATAGAAGGAATGCCATCATGGCCACCCACCCTGGGAGAGGGGGACCCGAGGAACCGCCAGAACCCCTTGCGGCTGCAGCCCCGAAGACCACACTGACCGAAGCTGACCATCACCAGCCGATGCCCGAGAAACCTCCCACGGCAAAGAAAATGATGACGATCCAGGCAGGACAGAGGTAAGTCCAGTTTCTTCACTATTCAGTCTAGCAGGAGTTCCAGATGCCACCTGCTGGGCAGTCACAGGAACTGCAACCAGATCCTGTGAGAAAAGCAGTGGAGAGGAGGTAAGCTCACACGCCGCAGAGGAGGGCAGCCGAGGTAAGTACTCACTGAATAGTGAAGAAACTGGACTTACCTCTGTCCTGCCTGGATCGTCATCGTTTTCTTTGCCGTGGGAGGTTTCTTGGGCATCGGCTGGTGAGTACACTAATGTCTCTTCCTTGCAGTCCGGGGGTTCCTTGTGGGGGGGTTTCTTTCAGGGCTTATGGGTTTTCTGGATCAGTGGGAGCAGGGTGCATAAGTGGGTGGGGACACCCGTTAGATGGTCAGCTTCGGTCATAGGGGATCCAGAACAGAGGGGGGGAAGACCGAGAAAGGGAAGGAGGGCCAGAAAGAGGGGCAGCAGAAAGGGGGGGGAACCCAAAACAGAAACGGCCGCTGAGGGGGCCAAAGCAGAAGGGGAAGGGGGAACCAGAGAAGGACAGAACCCCACAGGAGGGGAGGGAGGGCAGAAAAACAAGCGAAACCCGGGGGAAGAGAGGGGGACCACCCCCCAGGCCGACCCTCATCCCCAGAGGACACCCCTCCCTACCCCCCCAACGGCGACACCGCCATGCCTCGCAGGGCCTACTCACCCCCACCCGCCTGGCTATGGATCCGCCGTTTCACCGACCATGTGGCATCCGGGAACGCCTCCAAGATGCCTCCGGCTGTCATGGTTGTGCCGTCCGTCTTCTCACGCCCCCAGCCCGCCATCCAAGGCCGGGGGAGTGTTGGAAACCGCAAGCGGACCTGGCCCATCTGGCCCTATACTGGGCCCCAGGTGCCACATCAGGACTTAGGCGAGCAGACGGGAGCGCTGGCCCGTGTTCCTGCGGCCTACAAGATTTGTGGCTGCAAGGGGGGGACCCACACTGGCAGCCACACCAGGTTGGAGGTGAGCAAAGTACTCACGAAGGTGCCTACCGCCATCCAGGGCAGCTGCAGCTCTGAGGGCAGAAAGGATTCCTTCTATAACCATCCCTCAAGCAGGTAAAGTCACCAGGCCCAGGACAAACAGGAGCACAGAGGCAGGAAAGTTGTTTGCTGGCCAGAATCCCAAAAAGCACTGAGGTAAGATGATCCTTGCCCCACTCCAAACCCATAACCACTCCCCTAAACACATACAGCCACTCCCCTAAACACATACAGCCACGCCCATATACACATACAGCCACGCCCCTAAACACATACAGCCACTCCCATATACACATACAGCCACTCCCCTAAACACATACAGCCACGCCCATATACACATACAACCACTCCCCTAAACACATACAGCCACGCCCATATACACATACAGCCACTCCCCTAAACACATACAGCCAATCACTAGCACCATCCCCACACTCATACATGTGCCTTTGTCCGCTTAGCTGCGCCATCTCCCCAGGGCTTTTACAACAGTTTCTGTACTCTCATAATCTCACTAGCCCACAAGAGGCCCCAGCCCCTCCTAATTCCACATCCAGGTAATTGGATTTATTTAATTTAAGGAAGGTTTGCCAGTCAGCCTGGCCGTCCCTATGATTAAGCAGCCCTCCACAAAATATTCCAGAGCCCAGAGGGCCAGGCAGATCCACGCCTTAGCAGTTGTTCTGTAGCAGTTTAGTTGACTAGTAAACTTTATACAAAAAAATCCAGCAATTTAGAACAAATCTCAAACTACAAGTGTATTGCCACATTTTCTAATCACGTATAAAGTGAATATAATTTTTACTCTAAAATATAACATATTTGACATGGAGAATATAAATGCAGATTTTGTACAAAGCGTGCTGTTTCTGCTTATTCTCACTAATTCTGTGGAAAGGTAGATTTCAATCTATCTCTGCCTTGGGCAGGGGGAGGGTGCATGAAAATAGCTAATACTTTAAGTGCCACATATTGATTTGGAATATCTGCTCTGCACCATAACCCCGTGCCCTGCAGGTGAAGCTTATGGATATGTGATAGGATTAATTTTCCAGACATCTGCACATGCTTTAAACAGCCTTTAGAAAGCTTAAAATGCTTCTAAATGTGAGCCTACCACAGGGCTGCAACGCCATTAAGATCTATAACAAGCACAACATCATTATTTGTCAGAAGAAAAGCTCGTTTATTTTGTCAGTGCCTAAATGATGACATTTTCTCACCAGACAAGAGAGTCATAATGTCGGGATTGTTCTTAACTGAATTTACATTTTTATAGAAATCATAAGATCGTTCAAAAAGCCATTATTTGTTCTTTATAGCAATGTTTGTGAACAGGACCTATTAATCATTTACTGCTAATATGTTATTCTATAAAGCTCAAATGTGGATTTAAATGTAGGAAGTCTGCAATCCTCATTCAACTTAAAGTGAGAAAAGAATTGTGAGATTTTGCTTATAATTATGCTAAACTATGTTTGTGTTTTTTTGTCACATAGGATGAGTTCTGCATCTTGTATGTACATAGTGGGGAATCGCGATGCAGCCTAGAACAAAATCTAACCCCATTCAACCCCCCAATAACGACAGACAACTTAGTATGGATGAACAGGCCACAGCATTTATTATAACATAAATAAATTACTGCATAACACATCCATAACTTTATTTATTAAATCTCTTCTTTCTGTAACCAAATTGTTAGAAATAAATAATCATAAATTAACATATAAACATATAACTCAACACAAACTGTTATACAGTGACCCAATAAACATAAGTGGTTCCTAATCACCACTTCCTCTCACCTCCACCCTCATCATAAATCATATCTTTCCAATGCCCGTCATCAGCCGACCTTATCCACGCTCGATGGGCACGACACCTCAGGCAACCTAATGTTAACCAAAATATGGAAAAAACACAGCGAGGGAACCGGCTGTTGATCTAAATAGAAATAAATGAAGATATAGTGTAATACAGTTTACAATATGAACACTGCGCAATATAAAATGCACTCACAGAATTCAGACAGATTCAAGCTTGTAAGGTGCCTCCCCCGAAAATATGGGGGGCTTAGGGAAATCCCCTGGATACTCTCTCTCCAATACAGGACTCCGGGTGAAGTTTGAAAAAGCAGCTTTAATTCAATATTAAAAAATATAAGAATAAAATAAATGTGTATAAGGTCCTACGCGTTTCGTCCCTTTAACAAAATAGGGACTTCCTCAGGGACCACAATATTAAAATACAATATAATACAATACAATCGAAAAAAAAACAGCCTAACAAACCACCACCCGAAAGTCCTTTAAATAGGGCTAATCCCTCAATATAATTGAGTCACATGTATTGCCCAATTGCTCCTCATTGGTCCTGGATTAATGGAAATCATCTGTTGCCGATCGAACCTCCAATCATTCACAGCTGACTTCAGACACGTTGAACAATCCTCTATCAATCCCCGGCACGGAAGTGCCGCGCGTCCCCACTGTAATGACGAA